GTTGTTAGACTCAGAATCATATATATAATTTTGTACAAAATAAGCACTTACAAAAATTACATACAGAAAATTATTACTTATAAGTGTAACAATGAAACACAAGAATAAATAAAAACAATATAAAAATTACTCAGAAAACAGACATAGAAACAAAAATGCAATCAAACAGATTTAAATATATTAGACATTTACAATCAAATAGGTAACAATAAAGCTGGAGTTTTCCTTTAGCTTTTAATCTCAGTCTTTGCTATAACATTTCAAAAAATTCTGAACTACTTTGTGATATTTGTAAAGAAACATTAATATCAGTAATTGCAGAGCTTTTTTTGCCAGCGGAAGAATAGGATATACGCTGATTTGAATCCAGTTTTCATATTTCTGTTTGAAAAGGGAACTAATCTTTCCAAAACGTTTTAATTGAATTGCAGGAGCTCGAAATTAATTTTCTTCACTCGAAAATAGCATAATTTTCTGTTCAATGAGAAACATCTTGTGAGAAATCTAATAAAAGTATTCTGTAGCATCCTCAAGTTTCTCACCTTTAGCATACTCCAGTTTCTCAATTTGAGATTCGAGTATTGATTTACGAGAAGGAATTGCGTTTCGCAGGTTATCGGATGTATGTTGAATGAAGCATGTGCTGCTCATTATTCAGTTAGAGCACCTTGTATCTAAGATTAAATTAAACTTGTGTAATCACTAACATATGCATACATATTATAGCTTTTAATGCTACTTGGTAAATTTGCTATGTGGCGTATTGGTATGAGATCTGCACGGAAGCCATGGCACATAATTACGAAATACTAAATATTCGGAAGTATGGCAGTATACCAATCGTGATTAAATTAATCGAGCACATTTCTCTGGACCAGTGTCTTGAAACTGCGTTCTGCACATCCCCCGAGTTCCACAAAAATCTGAAAGTGGTTCCACATCTTAAATTCAGAATTCGAAAGTTGCCTACCTGACATTCCTGACACATAGACAGAAAAATTATCTTCTAAAATAATTCATTAAATAAGACTTTTTTTAATTATCATTACCTAGACTAATATGACGCAGATATGTTTTCTGAGTAAAAATGTAATGAAATAATAAAAGATGTGTGAGAATCGTAATTTGTTAGTCCAAAGGGACTTTGTCCCTGAAGAACTATTGTTTTCGTTTTGCGATTTTGCGGTGAATCACTATAAATGTCCTTTTCACTTTTCAAACTGTTGCCACCAAATATTGTCCTGCATTATATTGGAAGAAATTAAATAATGAAAGATCTGCATAAATGTATGTATATTTTCCGCATTGCGATAAAACAGCGGTACATAGAGGCACCGAATTTTGAATGACGTAATCCTAAATTTGGAATTTGTTTTATGATCGATTTCATATTTTGTAAAACTTTAAAGAATTTTTGAGTACCAAACTTAATAATTTAAAAGCGAGCAATGGTAACACTCTATGGCGGGGAAAAAAACCTTTTTATCTCCAGCGGGCGCGGAACTGTGCATCGGAAATTCTAAAGATAGGCTCATTTTAAAATTACTTTGCGACATTGCTACTGAACTGAATTTTATGGTTTAAGTACAAAGGACATGATATTTAATAAATAAAGGTAATACAGAAAACATTAAAAAAACGCCCCTTTGGACGTAATTTAAAATATGAAACCTTTCAGATTTTCTTTGGGGGGTGGGGGCTTGTTCCGAATTCGAATCCTAAAAATTTCTCAAATTTCAAATATTTTTATACCATTGTAGAGTCTATTCGAAGCCGGAACACAAAAGATCAACTACATCGTCATTATATTTACAATCCCTGGATCTTCCGTCTACTAGCCTCACATGCTACCATTTACACGAGAAAAGGATGAAAAGGGAAGGAGACAAATATCACTTTTCATCACTATTATTAAAAAATTGAATCTTAATGCAAGTCCTTTTGCACAGTTTAATATATGAAATAACATAATTGCATAATTCGTTAACCTAATAAAAAGCCTAAATAAAACAACATCACACAAATTAAAAATTAAATGTGAAGGAATTGTTAATAACAGAATTCGTTTAAAAATCCGTTTTACCCGGCCAGCCAAAGTTTACTTTTTATTTGTATCGTAAAATAACAACTGTAATTAGAGGTGCATAATTTCGCTGCAGTGCTTTTTACATGAGAGGCATATTTTTAAATTTTAGCGTATTACATGTTACAAACTTAAACTAATCATTGCAGTTTGTATATAGACCAAAATAGTTTGTTGATTTTTTGATAAAACGTTATTTTGTAGATACATTAGGTTAATTGGAAGCAGGAAAGAATCATCCTCAACCCAAGTGTCGCCCGAGCTAAAAGGATGTTGGGTAATGATTCTCCTCACCCAGGATTTGGCAATTGGATTTCCTAAAAAACCCAGTCGCCCTTTAAAAGGGGGAGTATATAAGGTATTTCTCCCGCCTTATTGGAGTGCCTTCGTTTTGTAGAAGTCTGCATGTTGGAGGTCCGTGGTTCCATTCCCGGCGAAGGCGTTGTTCATTTTCCATCTTTCCTGCTTTCAAATAACGTAATGTCTCTAAACGTTTCTTAATATTCAGATTATAACCCACTACACATGACTTTACTGATTACGTTAATGCTTTTGGATCGTTTCAGATTCTCAAGAAAGCGACAGATTAGCCTAAAACGTGTTAAAACGGATTTTATATTTAGATGTTAAAAATATATTCAGACATTTAAAATACATCTGTCTTTATTCAGTTTGTCAGGTGAAATATTTTCTCCCGCAAACATTCATATTTCTGTAAAACGGTTTGGCTTTGAGATGTTGAAAGATAATGTTTAAAAGAAGATACAAAGAACTCTTGTGACAGCAGTTCTAGTTGATATAAGAATTTAACAGTAATAAGATACACTGGTTATCATTAATTAAGGAAAAATCCCCAAAATGACGCTTTCTCAAAAGGTTACATGTAGAATTCAATGAAACTGATCCACAACATGTAACACATAGTATGGTATAAATTAACATGAAAATAAATTACAAGACAATTATGATTTTGTAAAAATTAGCATATGTTTAAAATGAAAAAATCAGATGCATCAATTTGGTATTCCGAAAGCATACCAAACATGCTCGATAGGATTCAGATCCGGTGATCGAGCTGGCCACTCAGTGCGCTGAATTGTTTGCTGCTAAAGATAATAATCCACGATCAATGTGAGGTCTAGCGTTGTCGTCCTCCAGCAGGAAATTATTTCCTATTGTACCGGCATAAGGTTGCACATAATAATCAAGTATATCATCTGCATAAGCCTGAGCATTCATGGTTCCACGTTTGGACATGGAGGTCTGTGTTTCCACCCAAAGATATAGCACCCCAGACACAGAGTCCTCTGTATGCATCTGTTTCACGGATATTTGATGGGTGATAACGGGTTCCGGGTTCTCTCCAAATCAAGTAAAGCCTACTATTGTTTTGGAGGCTAAACCTGGACTCATCCCTAGAAAGATCCTCCATTGATCAACTGTCTAGTTAGCATGTTAACCTGCTCACTTCAAACATTCCCTTCTATGACGTGATGGGAATGGCACTCAAATGGTTGTTCGCCTCACGTATAGACCTCCTTCTGAAGACTTCCACGCACAGCGAAGTTGACACGAGCCTTCCAGTGGCTGCAACAAGGGAGGATCTGCATTGAGTCGGAGTCAAGGTTTTATTCCTTCATGCGCATAACAAAAATATCGGTCATCAGCGCTCTTTGTAATGGTTGGCGTCCTTGGCTGAACCTCTTGAATCCGAATCTGTTATTCAAAATTTTTGAGGACTACGCACATTTGTCCTGCCTCTAGTCTCCCAATGGCTCTGAATCGCAGTTCTTAGGGCAAATGATAAATGAGGTCATTGTTACAAATTGGCTATCCCAGATTTCTTATCCCAGCATCAGAGCAAATTTACAGGCTTGCTCTGAAATATGCAATTGTATTTTCCTCGCAGGTGACGCATTTCGATTACAGCATCGCTAATTTGCATACTGCACTTTTACTCAGCAATTCTTATTTGATGACATATTCAAATTTTATACGGGCTGACTTATTTTTGAACGAGTTATATCTATTTTTGTGATATTTCCTTAATTTTTGAAAACCAGTGTAATTTATTGCAAACGTTTGATTTTGGCTTTTCCAGCCGTCATATCGTTAGGCCTCCTTGCTATCGATTTAAGATAAGTGTTAAGATGGCACCTTGCATAAATATTTCAAAGCTTAGGTATAATATTTTTCTACATAAATTAAAAGCGAAACTAAAAATATCCATATTGAATTTATGAAAAGAATTTATTTTTTTCTGCTTTCTTTCTTAATTTATTTAATGATGTTGAATTTTTTGTATAAATTACACGCATTGTTACAATTTTTGTAAATATAAATTAAGCACGATTGCGTTCTTCAAGATTTTCGATAAAATCACTTACTGATATAATTTAAAGGAAAAAGGAGAGCAACTGGAAATTCATAGATAAAATATTCAGCCTATTTACGAAAATCTTGATTTAGTATTGTTATTTATATAAAACTGCATACATCATTATGGGTTTTGCTTAAGTAAATTAAAATCGAAAACATTTTTGTGGTTTCTAAAAAAGTAACGAAAACTGTTCGCTGTTCATACAGTTATAAAAATAATATTATTAGGAACAGAAAATTAACTGGTAACTTAAAGATAGAACTCTTCTATGGGTAACATCGGCTAGAAATATAAAGAGAGATGGGAAAAATAAAGGAATGGATGTTAAGATTCCTCTTATCTTGAAATGAACTGTGCACATCCATATTATTTATGCGAAGCATGCATACACCTCCTTTTATATTATTCATACTAATTTTGCAACTAAAATAAAGGTTTAATTCGAGAAAATACATTATGATGCTTTCATTGAAAGGTGAATACGTTATGGCTTTGACATTGGATTTAAATTTTAATACATATTGAAATGTATCTTACCGTAGTCATCCATTTGTAAAAATGATGTATATGCCGTCAATGTGCTCTCATTTTAGACAAACCAATGGGTTAAAAATTTTTGAATCTGAAATAAAATTTGCAATAATTAATTACAGAGTGACACAAACACATATGTATAATGTATAATCCATGCTTTATCAAATAATAATTTATGCTTTATAATAATTTATTGCCAATAATAATTTCTGCTTTATCAAGTAAATTATAATACTCTAAAATTTCAGCTAAACTCAACGCAACGAAAATCATTTCGGAAGAGCTGGGTTAATGTGGGAGCTTTAAAAAAATAAAATGGTCTTAGGTGAATGTAGTAATCAATAACATAATTTGCAGTATTAGTTGACATTTGAAGAATTGAGACTTTTACTGGTCGTTATTTAAACTACTTTTCATACTGAATATTTTCTCATTGAAATCAAAGGGAAGAGGAAACTGATTTTTGCGGTTGTGGTTCATGTCAATATTTGATTAATTTGTATACAGTGAGTTTTTATATGTATTTTTACAGTTGTACATGCTTTTTGTTTATTACTTCCTTGTCCGAAGTAAAGGAAGTATTGTAATCTCAAAAATTTTTGGGTACCATATTTGGAAGAAGATATCCATTTTAACTGCTATCGAATGCAGTTGAACGATGTTTTTGCGTAACATTTGTACGTAAGGACAGAATAAAGGACTCTTTTTTACAAAACGGGTTGTAAAAAGGATTTAAAATGGATTCAGAAGGTATTTTTCGTGACGTCTGTCCGTCCGTACGTATGTATATATGTATTTATCTCCCATAACTCTAAAACTAGTAGCCTCAGAACTTTGAAATTTTGTATATAGGATTTCTATAACATGCAGTTGTGCACCTCTCGTTTTGGTTGCAATCAGCCGCACTAAAGGTACATAAATATATATATAAATACCCACTCTGTTACTCGAGTGAGTTTTATTCTTATATATTGAGCTCAGTTTGTTTTATTCTTATATATTGGTAAATTGTGCCTTTCTTGGTTTAAACATTATTGAATTACTTTGTTCTTATCTTCCAGTTAAGGGTTTTATGCCTTTAATTAATCTGCATGCAATGGTTGTAGAACTATCAACAATTTAAAAGTCGTTTAAGTGCCCGCTAAGCCTAATTTTTTAGGATATCAGGTACGGTAGTTTTGTACAGCTTACTTAAGCCTTTTGAAACAGGTAACCATGAAATTACACCGAGCTTTGGACCACAGATGATAACACCGGCGAGGTAGAAGTGTGAACATGGAAACATATAAGCGACGCACGAACTTGTCTGACGATAGATCCCAGTAAAAAATGCAGTATTATAGAATTTCTCAGACTTAACACAGCAAGGACTTCCCTTGAGACGATTTCAGTAAGACTAAAAGCAGTCCAATTCCGCGAGAAATTAAGAACAGAAAGATAGGAATTAAGTTTAAAATTCTAAACGCAAGGATGCGCTTCTACATTAATCAAGCTACCCGCCTTTACGTGTTCTAATAAATCGGTACTCGACAATCAATGATCTATGCATCGCTTTCTTTCCTCTTTTTCTGAAAATTATAAATAGTCATGTGATTGATACGTCATGTGGTTGTCATGTGATTTTATCATCGAGGATACATTTTATGGATCATCACGTTCTCTGACTAAATGGTCTGAAGTTCCGACGATCATCGCCAATTTTGAATGTGGTGAATGGAAGAAGAATAGCTATCAAGATATTTATTATTTCCATGAGAAAAATGCCTCCTTCAACGGCCAATTCCTTCCACTACTTATGAATTTTTCACTTATGTGGAATTTAACTATTAAACTTCCAGTGAAATCAGCATTACTTCAGTAACGCAAAAAAGCGAATATTAATTCTACAGTAGTTATGCAAATAAAATAAATATTCGGAGTAAGTAATGAGTCGAAACTTTTTCTTTGAGTCTGTTTCAAAATGATATGCTACTCAGGTAACTGCTTAGCGAGTATTATGTTAGTCATGCTCTGTGAGTAAATTTGCATTCTGATTTATACACTCGTGCATTAAGGAGAATTTCGTTTTAGCTCTTGACTCACCTTAAGCTATTTTTAGTGGTTTCCTTTCCCTGTACATCTCAGAGTGGAAACTGTTTCGAGTTTTTCTATTCACTGACCTAATTATTTAAAGAGATCTTTACAAATCCGTAGCTTATATTAATTGAATTTATTAAGATCAAATATCGTGTAAACATTTATATACTTTGCTACACAAATATGACATAAATATCACCATATTACGAAGTAATATTTATTTATGCCAACAATAAACGCAAAAAAGCAAATTTTGATAAAATTGTATCTCAGTCTTTTCGCAATATTAAGAAAAGGTCTCAAATTATTTTCAGTTTTCTTCACTTGCAACTTATCTTCCCCATTTCAACACTTGAGAGGAATACTTATTTTTTAATCAAATAGAAAGCTCTCAGCTTATGATCTTGTCCTTACGTTAATATTTTTTTTCCTAGCATTAGCTAAATGACACTTGTGATTTTCTTACTTTCAAGAAGTGTTATGTAACTTACGTTTTCCAGATGTTTCGAATTTTCTTCATGTATATGATATATAGCTTTTACACCAGGATGTAACACTTATGATATGAGCTGCGTAAAATGAGTAGAGTTTGTATCAGAAAAGAAGATTTTACGTGGTTGAAAAATTGTTATTTTTTGGAATACAGAAATCTATCATGCAGCGTCATCTGATATGAAAAAGAAGAAACATTAAGTTCTTTGCTCAGTTATGAGTTCAAAATTAATTTTTTTGAACGTAACTTCAGCTCAATGCTGAATCCGTTAACATTTGTTCACAAAATCGAAACCACGTAGAATCGGCATGGCGTATTATTGATACGGTGCAGTATCGATACGATATAGGACTGTTAGCGATACAGGAGTAACATCGGTATATCATAAATACTGGCTACCAGGATATGATTGAAATGATAAAAAACAAATGTTGATCATGAGGTAACAATGAGTTAGAGGTTTAATATAAGTTTGTAACCTGCAAAGAATCGTGTACAACATGCGATTGATGGTGTATGTGGTCGACTTGATTCAGGATCGACACAAGCATATGAGAGATACTGTATACAGTAAATACTGACATAGGATTGACACCAGTACATACAGAACATTGGCATAGCGCAAATGAGATTTATAATTAGCAACAGTGCATAGTCAAGGAGGAAAGAATTTAATTAAGCTGCCTACTTGAGGAAACGTGCATAGGATAGAAACAGACATAAAAATGTTATCGCTAAAGGATCCATTCTGGTTTTGAACTGCTTTGTCGGTCACGTGCCGATAGTGAGGCTGTTAGTTCTTTGTCGCATTTCTAATCCACTGAAGAGCGTAAGATGACAGTGCGCTGCGTTTTGTATTTCACGGGAATACCAAACGTGCACTTCTTGACTTTTTTCTTTCACGGTTGTCAGCGATCAGACTAAGGAACATTATTGTTGGCTATATTATCATAAATATTGCGTTTTAGAATGTTGAGTTGACCCACTGTCCTGAAACTGATTATCATTTTTATGCACGAGGTATGGCACAAAATAAACGAGACTCAGTGTGTAGCTTGAAAACAGAGTGGAGTTGGCAACAACTGTTTTGGTGACGTCATGCCACACACCTCCTCTATCCATGCGGCCAGTTTCCACTTAACCGACCACGCCAGTGGGGAGTACTGCGTCATTGAGTGAACAGGTGCAACTGCATTCTGCCGGAAAAATATCTAATGTAAAAACCGAACAGTTAATTAACATCAAGTTTCTTGTGAAACTTAAGAAATCAGCCACGGAAAAAAGATTTCAAATGTTAACCGAGGTTTATGGAGATGGAACTTTGTCTCATGCACGTGTGATTGAACGGCATAAGCGGTTTTCAGGGAAAAGGGACAGTGTGAAAAATGATGAACGTGCTGGACGCCTATCACGTTCATGATGAATGAATGGATTCTCAGTGGCCATACTCTTAATCAATACTACTGCATTGAAGTACTAAAAAGACTTCGTGAAAAAATTGGGGAAAAATGGCCACAGTTGTGGAGTGATGCATGGCTGTTGCACCAGAACAATGCACCCGCTCACACGGCCCTCTCTGTCTAGCAGTATCTGACTAGAAAAAACATTACTGTAATGGAGCATCCTCCTTTTTCACCTAATTTGGCTCCATGCGTCTTCTTTTTATTTACTAAATTTAAACTTGCTTAATGGGAACCCATTTTACTTCTGCTGAATAGGTTCAGGCAAAAACGTAGAATCATCTCCTGAAGGGTCTTCCAAAAACCTCGTTCCAGAACTGTTACCAGCAATGGCAGTATCGAATGCAGAAGTGTGTGAATGCTGAAGGAAACTACTTTGAAGGTAATAATGTGAACGGAGAACTGATTCTGTAAATACAATGATTTATTGGACCATTCTCGTTTTTTTTTTTTTTTGTGTCACACATTGTATGTCGACAAGTACAAAGACATGTAAAATATTTGATATACGTTTCACGTTTCCTTATCAGGCCACAAATCACAAAGGTTTGTGTTAAAAGACAAATAACATACTGAAGCAAGTAAAATTTACTCCACACTTTTTTTTTCAAACACCCTGTAAAAGAACCAACGAGTACTTTTATTCAACCAGTATTAGTTTCACGAAGAAAGATCCTAAGCAACTTTATAAGTATGTACTAGACGTTTCCTAAGAAAGTTTCGTTTACCAAAAGGCACGTGAGATAACGGGCGGCCATAATTAAACTGACAGTGCTCACAGTGTTCTGTAGCGAGATCTATTTGCGAGAATGACGCCACATTTTGAAAGAAGATTAAACAAGACGGGGGACGAAGGATTCCTCGAAAAAAATAGTTCCAAAAGTCACGGCTAAGGGAATATTTGGCGCTGTGTAATAGAAAATAGAGTGTTAACAAATGCAAATCAATACGGAAATTATCTTTTATTTTGCATTCAAATGAGGTTGAATGTGACTGCCGTTGTTGTGGACCACATATTGCATTCTGTGCACAGTATGCACAACAGCAGAAAGTAACATGTC